CATCCACTCATTACAAAACATCCACCCACTACACCCATTACATCCACTCATTACCACAACACTCACCCACTACACCCATTACATCCACTCATTACAACTTCATACACTCATCTCCCTAGCCTATAAATACATCCACCCTTCACCATAATTTGGGGGCCATCATCCAAAGACACCACATCATCTACACAACTCTCCACCCTTCACCATAACTCACCTATATCCATCCACCACCACAAGAGACCATTCATTCACCACTCACACCTTGGTGCCGCATATTTGCAAGGAAAGAGGATTGCTTGGAGCTGTGCTTGTCATTCAATTTGGATTACTGGAGCATTCTAGGTGTATTCTACTTTGGTTTTCAATGTTTAATTTCAATTGTTTCTGTTTAATTGCAAGTATGAGGAACTAAACCTCTTTTGGCTAGAGGAGAATTCGAAACCATGAATATATTTGCAATATGAATTGATTTCTTCCAATTGTGATTTGATAAGTTGTGATTGCAATTCAATTATCTATTTTATTCATAACGGATTTATGTATGTTTATTAAGGATGCATACTTAGTTTTCATGCATGAATTTGATGCTAGGATATAAACAAGTTTCACCTAATCGTTACAAGTTTATATTCATGAGTAGTGAAGGTTGCTTGTCACAATCGCGTTAATTGAATTCTTGGCAAACGTATCATGCATTCATAGTTACAATTGCCTCGTCAACGCTTATGATTTTCATGGAACTTAATGATCTTTAATTGTATCTCTATTATGCATTCATATAGGGGACTTTTAGAGAATGATTTGGGTTGTCGCATGCATTCATCCAATTCAATGAGTAAAGGAAAATCTGAGGGTTAATTTGTGCATCACGGTTAATCTGGGGTGTTGAGCATCATAGTTTATTGAAAAGCAATTGGAGATTGATTTGTATGCAAGTGTGTCATGTGTGGAGAAAGACCTTCTAGCTAGCCCATCATCCATCCAAAACAACCAATTTCGTGCAAATCTGTTTAGTTCTAGTTTCTGTTTTGTTTTACTTTATTTTCGTCCAAAACCCAATCCCCCTTTACTTTAGTGTGTCTAATTAGTTAGAATCTGTTTTAGTTTATATTTTTAAGTGTTTTGAGTCTATAGAGTCTAGTTAAGTGTTTTTAAGTTTCTTTTTGTAAGTCAGTTTAGTTTAGATTAGCAATCCCTCCTAATCCCCGGTCCAGAACGATCCCTACTTATACATATACTACAATTGTCAAAAGAGGGTTTAATTTGAGTGCTTAACTCTCATCGCATCAATTCGTCGTACTTCAAAGTTGGCTATGTGAGCTTCCACGATCAATGGGTCGTTGTGAAGGTAGATGATACCTCTTTCTTCCTCAGGGTAGAAACATATTGGATCCCGTTAGGCTTTTGATACTTACCTCCCCTGATGTCTTCCATGTGAAACACTTGGTGGCCAGACCTTAAAGCTCGTTCACTATTTTTCATGGCCCTGTTGGAAGATTTAGATATGGGTTTGCCACCACTCATGGAATATATCACATTTACCTAGCGTTGGTTACGATTACCCCTTGGAGGGTGAATGAGGAATTGATCAATTTTTCCTTCACGTGCCAAAGCTTCAATATAATCACGAAGGGTGATACACTTCTCACCGTCATGGCCGTTATGCTCGTGGTAGCAGCAAAACATGCACGTGTTCTTTATGGGCTTATAATCCGGGTGCCTCGACTTTGGCTTCGGTATCAAGTGTGCTATGCTAGGGTAAATGGCCATGCATGTGGCGTTCAAAGGTGTGTATGTCTCATACCTTGGGGTAGGGGCTGTCCTGACACGTGATTGACCCACTGTGTTGACTGCCTGGGGTCGGGGATTATCATGGCGATACCTTTGGTTATCACGGTAGTGTCCCTTACTCCTTTTACTAAAATGAGACTGGTGAGGATGGAAATCTTTCCTTTTGCCCTGAGATTGATATGTCTGTTGACTTGGCAAAGTATTAAGTAAGGCAGGGGGAAGGCACCGCTGCCGTTTGGAAGGTCGAGGTCTTCTCATTTGGTTGGATCTGGCTTCCACTCCCTACTTGCTGATAAGGGGTGGTTGTGGGGGGTTTCCCTTGATATGTCCTTGCCTCGGCGAAGGCATGCTTGTAAACCTGTGCCATCACCTCAGAGTAAGTCTTCCAAGGGTTGGCATTGATCATGTACTTGAAGAAACAATCACGTAGGCCTGCCGTGAAGGCCTTGAGGGCGGTCTTGTCATCTGCCTCAGTGCAACGAGAATACTTATGGCTGAAATGACCAGCATACTCTTGTAGTGACTCGTCCGGCTTCTGGCGAATAGTGTACAAGTCATCTGCAGAATGCAAGCGATCGGTCTGTAAGATGTGTTGAGCGACAAACAGTTTCCTCAGTTCTTCAAATGAGTCTACTGTCTCAGGTGGAAAACGGCAATACCAATTTAGAGCTCTGCCAAAGAGGGTGGAGGGGAAGAGAAGGCATCGCTCTTCGTCGATGTGCATCCGATATGCCAGGGTGGACTCAAAGAGGTTAAGGTGTTCAATTGGGTCTTCCCTTCCAATATAGAGTTGTAAACAAGGCTTTTGTTTTGTCTTCGCTTGAAGGGGGTGTCAAGGATCATCCTTGTGAGAGGGCCAGGCCTGGGTTGGTTCCAGTCAGGTATCTCGGCCTGACGTTCGGCCTTCAACTTGTTTACTTCCTCAAAAAGCTGTAGGATAAGGAGGTCTTGAGTGGAGTCATATACCACTGGGATTTTCTTTCGTAAGTCTCCATCGCCTCTTGGAAGTAGGAAAGTTTGAGCAAGGGCGTGTGATTTTTCCTTGGACTCGCCGTACTGACTTCTATGGCAAGTCTGTCGGAATACCTCAGAGTCCTCTGTACCTGCATGTTCCTCTAAGACATGTTGTTCCTTCCCTAGATTGGCAGCTAGCCTAGGTCGTGGGAGGGGACTGAGTCTTTCAGAAACCCTTGGGTCATTGATCTTCGAGCATATGTGGAGGAGATTCTTACGACGTTGCTTTAGGAAGTCTCGGCAGTCACGATAAACGGCTTTCGATCCTTCCAACCCTTCTGCAAGGAGGTGTATTCCTCCACTTCTCCTACTTCGGGTCGAAGCAGCTAGGTTGAGAGAAGTCTCATGTTGATCAATGTTTTGATGATTAGCTCGCTCCTCATCAGGGATACCCATGTCGAATGAAGGTGACCCTCCGTGTTGGGGGGCACCCAGATGATGGTTAATGTCCACAGGGGCAACAAGCTCACGTGTTTAAGTACGCATAGTTTCATGGAGCGTCTTAAAGAGCTTTTCATACTGCTCCTGGAGGACCTCATTCTTCATTGCTATCTTGTTGTTTTGAGCTTCTAGCTCATCGACTTTAGCTTGAAGAGCAACCTTTTTTCCTTCCTTCTTTCGTTGCTTCGCACTAGGTGCAAGAGGGGTGTCATTCTGTGTGTTGTGGCTTCCTTCGCTCCCCATGTTGGAAAGGGATGCCTGGTCAAAAAAGAGTGTATGAATGGTGAAAACCAGCTTGACAAAGCTGAAGAGAGTGGGAATAAGTGTCGTTCCCACAGACGGCACCAAATGTTGATGCACAAAATCAGTGAGGACTTTGGTACAACAGAAAGTGTTAAGTTTGTAACCTTTGCTAGATTGCTCCGGTCACTAGTGTGGATAAGTATGTAAATGGATAGAGACAGGGAAGCAAACACAAGATGTACGTGGTTCATCTAGATTGGCTACGTCCACGGAGTAGAAGAGTTCTCATTAATTGTGAAGGGTTTACACAAGTACATTGGTTCAAGCTCTCCTTTAGTGAGTACTAGTGAATGATTTAGTACAAATGACGTTATGGAATATTGTGAGAGAATGATATCTATTTATAGAAGAGAGTTTCTAGTTTCATTCTGACATTGACATGTGTTGTGTTGTGATTGGCTTCTGATGTTAACACGTGTCGCGCTATGATTGGCTTCTGATGTCAACACGTGCTCGTGCTGCGCTGTGATTAGCCTCTTGGTTGGAGGGAAACTCTTCTGGGTCCTTGACGGTATAACGTTGACCGGTGCTCAGTAGTTTCGGAATTGGTCAAGTATGGTACAAACAAACTGAATTGATATGATTTCAGATATATATATATATATATGTGTGTGTGTATATGCTTATATTCTAGGAAAATTTTACATGTTTTACAGTGAGGGGTTAGTAAGTTGATAAAAGAAAATGATTTTGTAAAACAATTGTTTTGCCCACTCACGTTTTATGTTTTTCACCCCTCCAAGTTTTAAGTAAGCTTGTTGTTGGTGGCTTGAGGACGTCGGCAGTTCTGACTTATCGAAATAATAGTAGGACATTCTTGGTACTGTATAACTGGTACTTGTCCTACCGGACTGCACTTAGACTTTATGCTATGATTAGGAGTGTTTACTGTTGTAACTAACTCCTATCACTTTCTGTTTAGTAGTGCACTCTAGTAATTTGGTTCTTAATTATTCGTATAATTCTTATCTTTATTGCTTTCGCAATGTGCACACGGCTACGTCACTCTCACGTGACGGCCGGCATGCCTTGATCTCGATAGGGGTGTGTCACTTATTTCACTGAGGTGATAGTTCAGGGACTAAATCGGCACTTCACCATTTATAGTAATGTACTAATGTTTTTTCATTAGGCTCTTATTTTGGAGTATGTAATACTTGAAAGACAAGTGCTTTTTTTCTTCTTTTAATGTTTGTAAGTAATATTTGTGTGACAATATGATATGCATATACTAATTTAATATTATGTTTACCATTTTTTGGGGGTCAAATTATGTTTTTCATTTTTATTATTTATCGATTTAAAATATATTTTCTTTAATGAGTAACAGGTCGGGTCATATTACATGATAATATTAACAGGTCGATTTCGAGTCGAGTCATATTACCCGTTTACTTTAACGGGTGTTATACGACACGACCCGTTAAGATATCGGATATGTCATGAAAATGACACAAACATGAAAAACACAACACAAATGTCAGGTTTACTCACCCTCATCACTCTACCATTCCTTTCCTTTTTCTTTTTTTCATTTGCTTTCTCTTCTTCCAAGCCCGGATTGAAAAATCAAGGGTAAATTACATTTATTACCTTAACTTTTAGTCACATAACAAACACATACCTCACCTTTTGAATATTGCAATATCTTATCCCAACTACGATTTTATTTTATTTTTTTCCATTAATTAAGCTAAGGAGAAGAAGCTCGAGCTCTCTCTCTGTTGCATTAGTGGTTAACCTTCCAAATCTGTTTTCAAATTTTCCACTCAAGCTTCTTATGCTGAAGAAGAAAAAGAAGGAGAAGAAAGCTCGTACAACAATGGAAATCTCTTTCGAATTTTTCACCTTCCAAATCGATTTCATTCTTTTCAAAATAACTCACTGCAAATACAAACCTATATCAAAATTGGTACTACTTCTCAATTCAACACCAAATTCGAGTGACGAAAGTGGTCACTTTCCCAACTTTAGATAACTACTAGCAAAAATTGCTCGCGCGATGCTGCGGGTTTCAAATCCAACCAGTTCTTGCAATCAGTAAATATGGTTGCGAAGTTGTCAATAGTAAAAAAAAAAACATGTTAGCCAGGATAGTCAAATTTTATTAGTTTACTCTAAATGACTTCAACTTCTCCAAAAGGTTTGCTTCTAGACTCTTACATATCACTCAATACTTTTGTTAATTGGCCCTAAACTCTTAGTAAAAAAATTAGGCAACTCTAATTAACAATTGCTAATCAAACTGCAAAAACAACATAGTGAGCTTCAACTGTGTTCAAACATCTGAATCAATAGATTCAAAGGTCTTGATATGCATTATTAACCAAAGCCATCCATTACATTAGAATAAAAAATTTCCTAATGGACCGATGCAAATACAATTTGAAAGATCAAATTCAAACATTGAAGCACTCAAGCACTCAAGCAATTTAGATAATGCTTGAAAGATGAAATTCACACACTAAAACCACTCTGCAACAGATTCACATGAGTCATAATAGGAACTTACCAACCAAAACTTTACCACAGCCAAACGCTAGGTCCTTTCCATTAGTTAAGTAGATTTTACGTAGCTGCATTAACATTAAAATAAGGGAAATAAATCAGTAATCTTAATTTTTTTTAAGGAACTCAAAAATATTTCTCAACTTGCTTGTTTTCCTTGCATTAAAAATTATAAGCACAAAGGGGAATGGAAATATCCCAACAAATAATGCAAAAATCAATAATAAAGATTTTTAAATAATTTTGTGGTTAATGTGTATAGCAAGTGCATTGAAATGCTTAGCATTTGGTTAAACACACTTCTCTTCTTTAGAGAAGAGAGGCAGGGGAAAGCAATAGGAACAGTGTGATAGGTTCTAAGTTTTATACACACACACACACACACACACCAATATTCATTGACCATAAAGTATTACATGCAACTCAAAAACTAAAAATAAGAGAGAGACTTGGTGAAAAACCCGAAATCCCTTACACAAAAAACTCAATGCGCAATTAGATCATCAAGCTTCATGTCAGATTGTTTTTCGTTTAAGAAAACCTTCTTCCAGTTCAAGTAATACCAATTTAAGTTTAAATACCTACCTTAAATATTCAGAATACATAATTTGGAAATAGAAAAAAACATAAACATAATCATACCTGGAGAGTGATGGCAAAAGTATTATATCAGCCAAAAAAACCTTGCAAAGAACAAAAATTCCACAAAATCAGTATATTAGCAGTTCCTGCAAAACCCCAAAATCAAAAATTAGAAATAAAATTTGATAACATAATACAAATTCGTATCTGTTAGAGTAGACACCATTTAAATTAGAATAATTAGGTTTAGGATAAATACCCAAACAGTTCTACTTGATTTGGTCCTTGCTGCAAAAATGCAGGCATGGTGTTATGCACAGTAGACTTTTTCTTGCCGGTCTAGCAACGACCACCAACACAGTAGGCACAATTAAAAGGTCCACCACTTCTCCAACAAAAAACCTACTTTACACAAATTTTTTGAATTGTAATCAAAATAATTATATTAAATGCAAAATTAAAAATCATATCAAAAAATGAAATTGAAATTAACTGAAACCCTAATTGAATTGAAGCCCTTGTTAAAAAAAGCCTCATTGATATTGAAATTAAACAAAACCCTCCCTGATTTTGAAACCTCAGACTCAGATTCTCATACCTTAAATTTGAGCATCGAACCTGAGAGACAAAGCCATGAAGATTGGTAATAATGGCAAGAAACAATTCGCCGAAATTCCAACACCCAAAAACCTGGCTGCTTGATACTTGAAATCGAGTTTTTGGTTCGAGGGTTTAAATTAAGTGTGAGAGATTGTGGAATTAAATTTGTTGGTTTGAGGATATGAGGGCTTGAGGGGTTTTGCGGTGGCTGTGAGCGAGAGAAAAAGGAAGGGAGGGTTGATGGCAGGGAAAAGGTAAACGGAATAGAGAGATGAGGAGAGGAGAAAAGAGAAGACCGCAGAGAGAGAAATGGAAATGGAAGGAAAAGTCGAGAAGAAAGTCTGAGCGTAGCCTTTCAACGATGATCGACCCGTGGCAAAAAAGGGTAAAATTGGAATTTTACTGTACCAAGCAAACAACAAAAAGTGGGATTAGAAGAAACAAAGGGCATTTCCGTCATTTCACTGTTCCAGCCAAGCTGAGTTTTAGTATATGTATAATATACTTTGCTGATTGGATGAACAGATGGAAAATTCCAAAATTTTAAAGAAATATCGAATATGAAGCAGAGAAATGAGGAGAAATCCCTAGAACGCTAAAACCCAATATTGAATTAGAGTTGTAAAATCTGAAAAGATTTAAGCAACCAAAGGCTTGAGGAGCTCCTGATTGATGGTGCTGAGAATCCTAATATAGTATTGGACCTAGTGGTAGAGCCCATAATCTCGTTGTTCTGATCGACCATCTCCATGAATTACCCGATGACGAGCGACACCAATTGGATCCTGTTGGCCTCCTCTTATGCGCGAAACAGCTCCCCTGTTTAGATTCTTCATCTCGTCCTTGACGTGCTCTTCCTGGATGTCAATCGGCGACTAATGGTCACTACAACCCAATCCTCATGTGCTTCAGGCGCGACTGAGGGAGGCAGAATAATCGAGGAAGATGACACCTCGAAACGACATCGTTGCGATCTCCAGCTCAGGTTGTTCGACAACCTAGTGCCTCTTGACTGCCACTCTCTCTTCGTCTTTCAACAACGGAAGTGATGGCGTCAACAAATCGACACTGCTGGCGGCGGTGCCCGCCTGCGGTGAGACTAGCATCGTCGAAAGATGAATGGTTATGCGAGCTCTAATCGATTCTAAGCGGCGGATTAGAAACGTGACGGGATCGAGAGGATGAGGGATTGACAGATGCATCCCTGGGTTCGCTGGTTCGGCGTTTTGTTCCTCCAAACCAGTACTTAGCCTTGTGTCTTTCGTTGAGCTTCTTTTGCCAAATTTTTTTTCTTTGCTAAATTTTTCTATTTTCTTTTTTCTTTTACCAAATTTTTTTCTTTGCCAAATTTTTCTATTTTCTTTTTTCTTTTACCAAATTTTTTTTCTTTGCTAAATAAAATAAAATTTTCTTTTTGTCTAACTTGCGCATATTTGGCATCTCTGTCAATAGAAGGGGGTGTTGAGCTATATATTTTCACAAACAAAATATATTAGCTAAGTCTTATTAAAAACAGGGAGACTTAGGAAAAATAAAAAAAAAACTCTACACCCGCACACACGTGGACTATGACAAGTCTAATGGAGTTTGTCATCTACGTGGCAACCAAATATAGAGATCATATGTGTCTAGAACTCTCCAAAACTCCCATGTTCTCCACTCAAGTGATGGCTTTCTCTCAGCATCTCCACACCCCAGGAAAATAGCATCCCACCAACTTCAACTGCCATGTCCACCATTCGCCTATAAAAAGGCATCAAACCAAAGCAAACGGGGGGAGAAGACATAGAAAAAATAGGAAGAGATACGCTGCAGAAATTGAGATAGAAATTGAGAGAGGAAAAAAGCAACGAAGTACTGCTGGAAGAGAAGACGAAGTAATTCCATTACCAGCGATTCAGAAGCAAACTACAAGCAACAACCAGAAAGTACAAAACTATGTTTTTTTTCTCTTCATTTTCTCTCCAGTAAATTTATTTTGCAGGCAAACGTTGTCTTTAAAAACCTTGGTTGGCAACGACAATTTATATGCTAGCAACCGCCGACGTTAGACAAAAACCCAAACAGAAGTAGCAGTCGTACCACGTCTCCAACCGTCATCTCCGATGATTTTCCAGATGGAATCCGTGCACTATTCAACTTGAAGGAAAAAGATTTGATGATGCAATGTTGCATAATGGCGGTCTTCTAAAAGAAATTCGTGCATTTTGCAGCTTGAAGGAGATGGGTTTGGTGATGCCATGTCACATAAAACCAGAAGAACCTGAGGAAGTTGTGTCAATGGAAGAAGAGACCAAGAGCCGCCGTTACCATGTTGCTGACACCCTTCGACTTCTCTACAATCCTTTGCCAAAATCCATTGCCCAGAAGCTAACGAGGAAGAAGATCTTCATCTATCCTCTCAACCCAATGGTCACAGCAATATCAGGGACCTCCAAGCCGTTAAAACTCACACCCCAAACCGCCAATCTCCAACAGTGTAGAACCCACGACTGCAATAATTTCGTCTCCCTCTCTGCCCAGTGGTGATGATCTGCTCCCGCTGTAATTACGATTACCGTTCGATTCCACGAGCCCAGCGAAGTGCAGCAATCGTACAAACTACACCTGTAGCTGTAGATCACCACTCCAACACCACCGCCCATTGATGGCGCCAAATGAGTAGTAGATGCAACAACCAGTGGAAGCCTCGAAACAACGGTGGGCAGCAGCCGCGGCGAAGTGACATCAGGCGACAAGCAGGCAATAAGAGACGAAAGCAGCCAGCAACACATAGCAAGGGGGAAACGACAAAAGAGCTTTTAGGAAGCAAGGAGAAAAATGGAGGAGAGAACACAAAGGGCTGCTTGGATTCAAGAAAGTTTGTAAAGGAAAAGTAATGTCAGGAATTCGAAAGATAAGAAAAAAATGGTGAAGAAGGTTTGCAAAGGAAAGGTGAGTAAGATTGACAGATGCTACAAAATAAAGAGTGAAAAGAAGAAAACGTATTGTTCATCACATGGGTGTCAGCAAGCTTCAGTGGTACAGTCAAAAAGAAAATGTTCATCACATGGGTGTTAGCAAGCTTCAGTGGTAAAGTCAAAGATGATGTCTTCCTACAATTAGAAAAGTCACAGCAAAAGCAAGAGAGAGTCCATGCAAATCACGAAGATATACCAAAATATGATGTGGTTGTTCTCGACCCAAAGCCAACACGTGAGGTGAATCGAAGATGATCTGAAGTTGCAGTATATAAGACGAAACAAATGCAAGTTACAAGGAACTTGATAACTTTAAGGCTATCCATCTGAAGCAACAACAACAACAACAACAACAAAGCCTTTTCCCACTAAGTGGGGTCGGCTATATGAATCCTAGAACGCCATTGCGCTCGGTTTTGTGTCATGTCCTCCGTTAGATCCAAGTACTCTAAGTCTTTTCTTAGGGTCTCTTCCAAAGTTTTCCTAGGTCTTCCTCTACCCCTTCGGCCCTGAACCTCTGTCCCGTGGTCACATCTTCGAACCGGAGCGTCAGTAGGCCTTCTTTGCACATGTCCAAACCATCGTAACCGATTTTCTCTCCTCTTTCCTTCAATTTCGGCTACTCCTACTTTACCTCGGATATCCTCATTCCTAATCTTATCCTTTCTCGTGTGCCCACACATCCAACGAAGCATCCTCATCTCCACTACACCTACGTGTTGATGCTTTACCGCCCAACATTCTATGTCATACAGCATTGCCGGCCTTATTGCCGTCCTATAAAATTTTCCCTTGAGCTTCAGTGGCCTACGACGGTCACACAACACGCCGGATGCACTCTTCCACTTCATCCATCCAGCTTGTATTTTATGGGTGAGAACGGTCGCTCTTTGGTATTTCCTGATCTCCGATCATCACCCCTAACTCATTTTGGCCTCCGTTTGCACTGAACTTGCACTCCATATATTCTGTCTTTGATCGGCTTAGGCGAGGACCTTTAGATTCCAACACTTCTCTCCAAAGGTTAAGCTTCGCGTTTACCCCTTCCTGCGTTTCATCTATCAACACACTATATCGTTTGCGAAAAAGCATACACCAAAGAATATCATCTTAAATATTAAGTTTGTGATCTTCGCTAGATTGCTCCGGTCATTAGTGTGGATAAGTATGTAAATGGATAGAGACGGGAAGCAAACACCAGATGTACGTGGTTCACCCAGATTGGCTACGTCCACGGAGTAAAGGAGTTTTCATTAATTGTGAAGGGTTTACACAGTATATAGGTTCAAGCTCTCCTTTAGTGAGTACAAGTGAATGATTTAGTACAAATGACATTAGGAAATATTGTGGAAGAATGATCTCGTAATCACGAAACTTTTAAGTACCGAAGTGTGGTATCGTCTTCACTTGCCTTATCTGTCTCATAGGTAGATGTGGCATCTTCTTTGGAAGTACTCTTCCTCCCTCCAGGGGTGGTATTTTTAACTGGTGGAGATGCACAAGTAAATATTAAGTTTGTGATCTTCGCTATCCATCTGAAGCAAAAAAAAAAAAAAAAAAAAAAAAGGGTGCACTGTCACCAATCAAATTTGTGACTGCAAAGATGGCTTTTTTTCTTCTCAAAATCATGCACGTGGTCACTTTGGAAAAAGGTGGGCAAATGTCTTCCAAATAAATTCCTCCCCACAACAAAAGGAAGAAATGAGTTTAAAACTCAAAAGAAAAGAAGACATGTTCATCCATGCATTAGAAGACAAACAAAGAGAAGAAACAGCAAGGGAGGGAAATAAAAGCTTCTCTAAAATTTGGAATGCCACTCATGTGGGAATGTTGCTTATTTAGAACAAAGGAAAGCCACAGCTCCCCATCAAAATTTATATGGGCTATGTCAGTGAGTAACCCCATGAATTTGAATTTTGACCAAGTATTAAATGGCAAGGGAATGGTGCATTCCAAGACGAAAAGAAATATAAAGACAATATCAACATTATGAAGATAATGTCGGCATCAAGTTGGTAGACAAGCATCACTTCAAACATCGTGAGGCGAACCATCTCAGAGCACAAAGATCGATGGTACTCCGCGACAAAATCTCAAATTGCATGAAGCTGTGTCGAATATCAAATGGCACAAAGCCGCAACGAGTCTCAAAAATCACGAAGCTACGAAATGCTCCTCGCCCGCATGAGCTAAAACTGGACAAGGCATCAAATGCTCCAACATCTTAAAGTCCTCGCCTGCACAAGCTAAAAACTGCACAAGGCATCAATCGCTCCAATGGCTCAAAGTCCTCGCCCGCACGAGCTAAAACTGCACAAGGCATTAAATGCTCCAATGGCTCAAAGTCCTCGTCTGCACGAGATAAAACTGCACAAGGCATTAAATGCTCCAATGGCTTAAAGTCCTCGCCCGCATGAGCTAAAACTGCACAAAGCATGGCTTGAAGTCCTCACCCGCATGAGCTAAAATTGCACAAGGCATTAACGCTCCAATGGTTTAAAGTCCTCGCCCGCATGAGCTAAAACTGCACAAGGCATCAAATGCTCCAATGGCGAGCTAAAACTGCACAAGGCATTAACGCTCCAATGGTTTAAAGTCCTAACCTGCATGAGCTAAAACTGCAAAAGACATCAAATGCTCCTTACCTGCATGAGCTGAAACTGCACAAGGCATCAAACCCCAACAAAACACATAAGGAACTACGAGTGACTTGATCCTCAACGAGGGTACGTAGTCAATCTAGGGCTCTACCTAAGTGCAGTCACAAAATCAAATAAACCTCCAAATCCCCAAGTTACGATTTATTCATATTAGAATCAAAAGGTATTCCTTTCCCAAAAGAAAGGTTGTAATTAATAGGCGTGTAGCTTAGAATGGGTCAAACTCAAATTAATAAAATCCTCTTCGGAAAAATGAACGAGGGTGAAATTATGTCGAGTTTGTTTACATATTGTGTAAAAAATTTTACTCAACAGGGGACTCACTTTTTCCACGTTGTGAGATAATGGCCAATTTAACATATTTTTTTAACGAAAGTATGACATTTCAACAATTTCATAAGTATGACAAGGTAATATTTAAAAATGAAGTATACGATTGTGATGGCATCCCAACTGGAGGGTGTAAATTGTAGTTAACCCAAAAATCAACTTGGCCACCAAATCCACTTCTCTAACACATGCATATCTCCTTGTCCATCCTCACCGATACAATTGCGAACGCCCATCCTCAAACACCCTTTTTGTGAAAACCCCATATCAGAATTCAATCTTTCCAGCTGGTTTTAGAGAAATGCCAAGAATTTGAGGATGGGTTTTCCGAGAAAATGGGAGATTTTGATCAGACGATCGACCC